TACAGCTTCTAGGTTAAAGAGTTTACGACTTAAATTTCTAAATTAGAAACTATCGATAGCTCAATTTGCAGCACTGTAGGCATCGAAAGTCTCACATTTGCAACGCTGCTCAATGAGTGGTTATCGAAAGTGCCAAACGGAGTCCAGCTAAGTTCCAAAGCTTCCGGCATCTTTCTTTTCGCTGTCGTCGCTCGAGCTGAGCAGGTGGTCTGGTCTCCCAGAAGAAGAACCCCCATCCGAGGACTGAGGGACGCTGAAGCCATGGACAAGCCAATTGTCTGGGCACGTGTCGTCAAGGTGCTCGGCCGCACCGGCTCCCAGGGACAGTGCACCCAAGTGAAAGTGGAGTTTCTTGGCGAGCAGAATCGCCAGATCATCCGCAACGTCAAGGGACCCGTGCGCGAGGGCGACATTTTGACGCTGCTCGAATCGGAGCGCGAGGCTCGTCGTTTGCGTTAGGAGGAGCGGAGCAGACAACGTCACCAATTTTGTAGAATTTAGTTTCAAATAGTATATGCATTTTTGCGCAAGAAGTTTTCGCGAGGCTTCTTGGCGAATATATGCATATAGAACTCCGACAAAAAAAACGTAAAAAAGCTGCATAATGGCTTAAAAATAAGAATATTTTGTGAAAATGGCTCGGAGTATCTACAATTTTTCCAATTTGCTCAAAAAGTTGCCGGAAAAACTTTTTGGTGAATATATGAAAAAAAGAAAAACGCATTGAAGATACTGGAAAATGAATTTCAAACGTGATTAGCTACAATCGATATATACATGGAATATAAAAAACATAGAAGTGGGCAGTAATATTCAATAATCATACGCACTTATATATCCAGAAAGTAGTCCATAGGCTTTCTGAACATTTACTTAAGCAGTTCTCATTTACACATTGATAATAACAACGAATCTACTTAAATATACTAGTGTTTCTAAGGTACTTTAGACATACAAAATATGTAATACTTAAAGCTGCATAATGGCTAATTAATCAAAAATCAAGCTGCATAATGGCTAAATAATCAAACACACTTCAAGCTGCATAATGGCTGAAGCTATATCTACTCAAAATGTATTACCTTATGAATGAATGAATATGAAAATAAAAAATGAAATGGAATTATTTGTGTTTAATCAATTTCTGAGAATTTTGAAGTCAGTTGAGCATTTGCTCAAATCAAAGTCATAGAGATTTTTGTGATGTACAAATAAATATTTATTTTTACTTTGTTGAAATATAAAAAATTAATTGAGAAATTATAGAATAATATTGCATTGATCTATAAAAGAGAGATTATTTTTTATATTTTTAGTGAAGTAAAAATAAATATGTACATATGTATGTTTATTCAAAGACCTCATTTTTACAGCAATAAGATAAACAGCGCTAAAAGTTATCGATTGCTAAGAGTAATCGATTGGCTGTAAAAGCCTTCAGCTGTGAAATTTCTGCACGTTTTCTGTTCGATTTAGCTAAACTTTATTTATTTATCTGCCATATCGATGATGTGTTTCACTTGTATTTATCAAAACTGAATTAAATTAGCTAAAAAGCTGTGCGTGGCCTGCTCTGACTTTTTTTTGTTAACAAATGAGCTGCAAGCTCAGGTGCGAGTGTGTGTGTGTGTGTGTGTATAAAAATCACATTTATGCCATTTAGCAACAATTTATCTTTGCTGTCAGACCACAAACACCCATGCACACGCACACGCACACACACCTATACATACAGAGTGTGGGTGCCTTGCACTACCTCGGGTTAAGGCAGGACAGGGACAGGCATTTATCATGCAAAACCAAGATAATTTATAACCACCAGGCAGCAGGCGGGCATCAAATGGACAGAGGCCAGCTCACACAGACACACTCACACACACGGTCTGTAAAGGTTTTGCCACTCATCGTCTGCTTCTGCTGGTCGTTTTACAGTGCTGCGCGATGAGTTTCGCCTGGAGCCACAGAACACGCGCATCGCACAGGGTGACACAGCGCTGCTGGAGTGTGCGGCGCCGCGGGGCATACCGGAACCGACGGTCACGTGGAAGAAGGGCGGCCAGAAATTGGATTTGGAGGGCACGAAGCGTATACGCATCGTTGATGGCGGCAATTTGGCCATACAGGATGCACGTCAAAGTGACGAGGGTCAATACCAGTGCATTGCCAAGAATCCAGTCGGTGTGCGCGAATCATCCCTGGCCACGCTCAAAGTACATGGTAAGCGTCCTACCTCTCCCTACCCTACCCTGCCCACACCCTACTCTGCCCAGCTCTGGCACACCTCGAATCAATGTGTCATGTCCAATTTGCCGAATTGTGACTTGGGTCGCTCTCTGGCTCCTCAAATGCCGCTAAGCGCTTCATTATGTTTATTGCAGTTAAGCCCTACATCATACGCGGACCACATGATCAAACGGTTCTCGAAGGCGCCTCCGTCACATTTCCCTGCCGTGTGGGCGGGGATCCCATGCCGGATGTGCTCTGGCTGCGCACAGCCTCCGGCGGCAACATGCCCCTAGGTGAGTCCAGCTGCCCGCCTGCCCGGGAGGTGTTTCATCTAATACTAATATAATTTCTCGGCTGCCTGCAGACCGTGTCAGCGTCCTGGAGGATCGCAGCCTGCGCCTGGAGCGTGTCACAATTGCGGATGAGGGCGAATACAGCTGCGAAGCCGATAATGTGGTCGGCGCCATTACAGCGATGGGCACCCTGACGGTGTTTGGTAAGTGCAGGCAGCAATTGCTTCAATATTTGTGCGATAATGACACGAGCTGAAGGGACGTAGTTACTGGAGGAGATTCGAACTGAAGCGGAGTTTTGGCATAAGTGAGAGAATCAATTTGAGATGGATGAAGAATGATGTAGAAGGGACGTGAGGGACTCGAACTGAAGAGGAGCTTAAATATAAATGAAAGAAATCATATGAAATGTATTGAGAATGATGCGAAAGCACATGAGGGATTCGAGCTGAAAAGAGTCAGAGAAACAATTTGAAATGGATGAAGAATGATGTAGAAGGGACGTGAGGGAATCGAACTGAGGAGAAGCTTAAGTATTAATGAAAGAAATCATATGAAATGTATTGAGAGATTCGAACTGAACAAAAGCTTTAGCATAAGTGAGAGCATCAATTTGAGATGTATTCAAGATTATGCGAAATCACATTAGAGCTTAAAAGTCGAAGCTATTACGAAACTTATAGACGAGCTGTATTGAAAAGTTGTGAAAGCGTATTAAAGCTTAAATATATTAAAAGCACCTCAAAGCAGCTACATAGACATTTAAGTGATGTAGAGCTCACGATATACAAATTCCAAATTGAAATAGCTGATGGACTATGTGTATTTATATTTGAGATGCAATAGAAGGCTGCGAAAGCGCATTGAATATTCCAAACTGAATGTAGTTGCTGATATAAAACTTTTGAAATAGTTTTAAATTAAATCATAAAGGTTTTACTATATATTCTTAAATGCTCACAAAAAGAGCCTTAAAAATAAAATGATTTTTTAGTCTATTAAATGTATTTGCAGTACAGTTTTCATGATAAAACTTTCTTTAAGCTTTTGAATTCAAGAAACTTTTCAAGCTGAATCATATTACATATGAATGAATGCGTAGTACAACAAAATAAATTAGATACAGTTTAGAGAGCTTAGATCTTTTTCATTTCAAGACAAGTCAAAGATTAGACTATATTCAAGTTATAAGCATCGCATATTAAATAAGAGGGTTTCCCTTGTAGCTCGTGTCATTGTACCCGATTTAGTGCTAGTCTCGCTTAGCTAATTAGTTGATGCCGTACATTCCCACGCCCGCGCACACTGTAGCACCCCCGAAATTCATACAACGACCCGCCAGCAAGTCAGTTGAGCTCGGAGCGGACACCTCGTTCGAGTGCCGTGCTTCGGGAAATCCCAAGCCCACCATATTCTGGACAATCAAGAACAACAGCACGCTGATCTTTCCCGGAGCACCGCCGCTGGATCGCTTTCACAGCCTGAACACGGAGGAGGGGCACTCGATCTTGACATTGACGCGCTTCCAGCGCACCGACAAGGATCTGGTCATCGTGTGCAATGCCATGAACGAGGTGGCTAGCATCACGTCGCGGGTGCAGCTCACGCTCGACTCGCAGGAGGATCGGCCGCCGCCGATAATCATCGCCGGGCCCGTGAACCAAACGCTGCCCGTCAAGAGTCTGGCCACGCTGCAGTGCAAGGCGATTGGCCTGCCCAATCCGACGATCTCCTGGTACCGCGACGGCATCCCCGTGCAGCCCAGTGCCAAGCTGAACATCACGACTGCCGGAGATCTGATCATATCCGACCTGGACCGGCAGCAGGATCAGGGCCTCTACACCTGCGTGGCCAGCTCGCGGGCCGGCAAGTCCACCTGGAGCGGCTTCCTGCGCATCGAGCTGCCCACCAACCCGAACATCAAGTTCTATCGCGCGCCCGAGCAGAGCAAGTGCCCCTCCGCGCCCGGACAGCCGACGGTGCTGAATGCCACCGCCTCTACCATGACAATCGTGTGGCCGACGAGCGACAAGCTCGGCGCCTCGCCCTTCCTCGGCTACAGCGTGGAGATGTACTGCACGAACAAGAGCAAGACCTGGATCCCCATCGCCAGCAGGCTGAGCGAGCCGATTGTGACGGTGGAGCGGCTGGAGGCGGGCGCCGCCTACATGTTCATAGTGCGCGCCGAGAACGCGCTCGGCTTCTCGCCCCCCTCGCCCATCTCGGAGCCAATCACAGCCGGGCAGCTGGTGGGCGCCAGCTCCTCGGGCTCGGCCAGCTCGCAGCTGATGCTCAGCGATGTGGAGACGCTGCTGCAGGCGAACGACATTGTCGAGCTGCTCGAGGCGAACGCCAGCGACTCGACCTCCGTCCGGCTGGCCTGGGACATTGACAGCGGCCAGTACATCGAGGGCTACTATCTGTATGCCCGAGAGCTGCGCTCCACCGAGTACAAGATGCTAACGCTGCTCAACAAGGGGCAGGGGCTGAGCTCGTGCACGGTGCCCGGTCTGGCGAAGGCTTCTACGTATGAGTTTTTTCTTGTGCCATTTTACAAGAGCGTCGTAGGCAAACCCTCCAACTCGAGACAGGCTCGCACCATGGAAGATGGTAAGGCTGGCCGAACTACAGGCTTACCTATGGCTTACCTGCTAATCAGAGCTGCATCAATGGCGCCTTATCAACTAGAACTAATTCCCAATTCATTCTCCTTCCACTCTCTCTCTCTCTCTCTCTCTCTCTCTTTGCTCTCTGACAGTGCCCGAGGCGGCGCCGTTCGGCATGGAGGCCATCCAATTTAATCGCACCTCCGTCTTCCTCAAATGGCTTGCGCCGCAGCCGAATCGCACGCACAACGGTACGTACTAAATAAATCCCTC